AAGATGAAGATGAAGATGAAGATGAAGATGAAGATGAAGATGAAGATAAGGATAAAAATCATAAGCCCTTAACTTTAACTCATCTTAACTTAAAAACTTACTCCACCTGAGCTCACCACACATTAATTCACCACACTTTAACTCCCCACACCTAAATTCACCACACCTCAGCTCGCCACACCTTAACCCCCGCACCTAAATCCACCACACCTAAATCCACCACCCTTAATTCACCACACCTCAACTTTCTCACCACACCTTAACTCACCTCAACTCACCACACCAAAATTCACCATACCTTAGTTCACCACACCTCAACTTTCTCACCATAACTTAACTCACCACACCTGAATCCACCACACCTAAATTCACCACACCGTAACTCCTACACCCAATTCCACCACACCGCAGCTCACCACACCCAATTTCACCACATGACATGATATCACTTGATGTGGCATCAAAGGCAACATCATTTGGCATAAAATGAACCAAAATAAATAAGATTTAGATAGAGGTGAAAAAAGGGATAAAAAGGAAATACAACTGAAGAGTGTGCGATGTTATATTGTGGTGTGTTATGCTTCATATGTTATGTTATTTATTCTTATGTTATGGTTATGTTATGTTATGCCAAGTACTAAGCTAAACTCCCCTCCACTTTACCCATTCCAACTAATGTTATTTTAGCTCATTCAACTTACATAAACTATCCTTAATTTTATCGGTTGAATTTCAACCGCTGGGCGAACACTAGTTTTTTTAATTTTCCTTTAAAGTATTGTGTGTGTATCTTCGTGAGTTTGTGTATTTGCAATTCCTTTAATATAAATTCGGTTAAAATATATAAGTTTATGTGTAAAATAATTTTTATTGAAGATTTATACAAGTTAATAAAATATACATATATTTATAATAAAATAGAAATGCACATAACCACATACATAAGTACAAATAGTCTTATTTGCAATACCGATCGCATGCCATTACTTCCGAGTTCCAGTAAAGATTATTGGCGCAGGTATGCACCGTAGCAAAGCCATCGCATTGAATGAATTTATGACAGTCATACGGGTGACGTACATAATCAACGCCGCACAGTGCCGCGAAGGTGGACAAAAATACAAAAATCGACTGTCTTGAAACTTAGATGTTTTGATGTCAAGTTACAGCTAAATCTCCAACTAAGAGAAGTTCATAAGTTATTTTGTGATAAAAACAACTTTCAGCCTCACACACCCCCTCAAAGTACACCTATTTTCTACATACCATTTCATTTCGGCGATTCGCACATAAAAGTGGTCGCAGTTAAAAATTTGTTAAAAATACATTTTTATTCCTAGCAAAATCAACTTTTGCACTTTGATAAAGATATATGCGACAAACCAAAAAATGTATGGTTCATGGAAAAAAAATTTATACAAATATTTGTTTTTTATTAATAAATAAATATATGATTAAACATACCAAAATCCGAAAATTGGTAACCTTTGGAGACAAAAAAAAAAAAACATCTTGAAAGTTCGTGAAATTTTTTTTTTGGTTATGGTAGTTTGGACCTTCTACTAACAGAAACAATCGAAATCTCTTCCAACTTTTTCCAATATTTGAAAATTTTCAATTTTGAAAAAGTGACTAAATGCCTTTTTTTGGTATTATTTTATCTGATCTATATTTACAATACTTTTTCTGAATGCCCTAAGATCTAAATTTTTGGTTCGCTCTTCAAAAATAAGATGTTGAATTAAAGCTAAAAGTGCCAAAAAAAAAGTTAAGAGGTACAGGGTGCTTTGAAATGAAAAAAATTATCAGCTAATTAAAATACTTAAATATGCATCACGGTATGGGAGCCAAAAACAAAGGTATACGAAGATTTACATATATATATATATACATATATATATATATATATATATATAGAGCAATGACACCAGTTTACAAAAAGAAATATAAAACAGAGAAACAAATATTTAAAGGGTTCTGATCTCAGCTTTAATAAATACATTGTTGAAAGTGACGAAGCAGACAAAAGCATGGAATCATTTGAATCAGTGATCACTTCCTCCTCTTCTGAGGACTCTGAAACTGAGTGATTATAACAACTAGTTCGGTTTTTATTAACATATTATATGTTATTACCATATAACAGCTATTATTACTTACTTACTTAACAGTGATTATGCTTTATTTTAAATGAAATCAAAAGAATTTTTTTTTTCTAAAGGTTAACATGTAAGGAAAACCGACTTAATTTTTCAAATTACCATA